CAACTCCAACCAGCACGAGCATGGCTACACAGCACTCATGTTTGCTGCTCTGTCAGGTAGTTTTGTTTATTTTACTACTTACCTAATCCTCTTCTCAGCCAGCCCTTCCATCTGGCCATCTTTGGTGCCTTGTCATGTCAGTGAAACCATGGCTCCGCACTTCTTGTTCGATAGTTCTTCACCATGTTTCCTTTGGTCTCCTGACCTGAGGCATCCATCTTATAGCTGTTCTTGTTATGTTTTTTTATGGCATGTGACATATGTGACTTGACCATCTCCATCGTCTGTTTATTGTCATGAGTTTATAATTATACGTGTACAATGTATACACAAATCAGACACATGTACAATGTATACACAAATCAGACACATGTACAATGTATATACAAATCAGACACTGCATTCCGAGCCGCCCTTAGCATGCCGATGGTAAGGCTCTGATGTACAGTTTGTCGATGAGTCTAACTCATGGATCCTAACAGCATGCTGTTGACCTTTGACCCGACCTCAGGTAACCTTGAGGTGACCAGGTTGATGTTGGAGGCTGGAGCGCGGACGAGCGCCGTCAACACCGTGGGAAGGACAGCATCACAGATGGCAGCATTCGTAGGTAAGATCCATCCTCCCTCATACAGTCAAACCTGTGCAATCAGGGCTCAAAATCTACTTTTTTTTGCATACCTGCTCTGGAAATTATCTGAACCAGACAGGTTTTACCTGCACCAATCTGCACTATCCTGTTTAAGCTTGTCCTTTTTTCTTTTCTCACCTCCTCCAGGACAACATGCAGTTGTCAGTCTTATCAACAACTTCTTCTCCAGGGACGACTTGGACTACTACACCAAGCCACAGGGTGAGATGGCAAACCTACACGTGTACATAAAGAATACTACAGGGTGAATTCCACATCACCCAAGGTCAGGATCACCCAAGGTCGGAGGGCGATCCTGACCTATGGGAGGGTGATGCGGAATACACCGTGTTGTATTTTATTTATGTCATACCTACCTGAGAAAACAGACATTTAATGCAAAATGTGCCAAAATTTGGTGTCCTTAAACGAAAAATTGTAACAACATCAATTCAAATGTCCAAATCCGGTATTCGAATTTTCGAAAGCGGCACACTCGGTGCACGCGAAACACGTTCAAATTATTCCATTGAACATTGGAAGCCCAATATTGTGATAACTAAATAGAACCCTGTGTGATACCAGTAGTTATCACTGTATTGAAAGTTATCATAGCTTAGGTATGGCATAAATAGTTGTAAGTCTTTTCCTACCAAGATTTTATTAAAAGTTTCTTACCTTGTCTCTCTTGTATGATCATTTTATCTTCTGGATTAACATACATTTTATCTGCATGTAAAAGACATTGAAGGAATTCTCTTGAGGCTTTGTTCTGATATAATTGGTTAGTTTGGGAACAGAATGACTGACAAGTTCTGGATAAATGTTTGTGGTGTTTTTTGTCTCTCATTAGGTGTAGAAAAGGAGGCCAAGTTACCGCCCAACCTGGCTGACTGTGTGCACAAACTCATCCTCATGTCCAACCTCAACCCTGTGAAGGTAGAGGATCTATACTCCATACATACATGTATACACCAACATTCCTTCTGCATCAAACTGTGTACTATGTCCTTGGCAGCAAAGTATCAGTTTTCAACCCAGGGCTGCGAAAAGCCCTTTCCTGCATTTTAAGAGACAAATTTCAAAATGCGTCATGCTGGAAAATACCATTTTTAGACACCATATTTATGCAACTTAGGCACATTTTTCTGAATTTTCAATGCTCTGCTACTGTACTATAGAATTGTTTTAACCCCAAACTTAAAACACTGCTAAAATCTCCTTCTACCATGAAAATGAATGTATATATTTTCTAGTGTCCAATCTTTCCATTTCAGATCATCCTCCATGTCCAAGAGAACCCAGAGTCCCAGGATGAGCTGGTGACCATCGCCCGGCTACTGGACACCTTGTGTACCAAGTTCATGAAGCAGTCGGAGACCAATGAGGTGATGGCCATGAAGGTGCACTACCAGGGCTGCGTACTGCGCGAGGCAAACAAGTGGCTGGTGGAGAAAAACGACACCTTGCAAAACCTGATGAAATAGTGAGTGGAACAATGTGGGCATCTCTCATTTCATCTCATCTTTCCCTTAGGCCTTGGACAAGAAATGTTGTTTCCCATTCCAGTCCTGAAAAAAATTAGGGTCGGTAGGTAGGTAGGTAGGTAGAGATTATCTTTTTTTTTAAAGACTTTGGCAATCTCCAGTAATCCAACTTGTACAATACAGTTTAACAATGAATGCAAAACTTGCACAAGGACACTTTCATTTTCAATATCAATTGTTGGAAAACCGATTGTACAATATTTCAGCACTCAGGTGTCAGATCATGGAGCTAGAAAAAAAGTCTAGGGTCAGCAGGTTTTTCTAGGGTCAGTCGGGAAACAGGAAATTTTTTTCCTAGGCCTTAGTCTTATTACCAACTATCTGACAACCAGTTTTCTCCACTCTTTCCAGTTTTCTGTTCCAGCTTAATATATATAGAAATATTATAGAAAGTTTATTGCAAATACATGCCCGAGGGCTAATTGCAGTTACAAACAACATGAGAAACTAAACTTAACTTAGTGTCTGTCATGCTGGTCCATTCTCTGATGTTATCCTCCCATCTTTTCTGTTGCCAACCCCACTTTCTATCTCCCTGGACTGTTCCTTGCATGTTACACCTAACCTTTGCACAGTACAAAAAGTTTGTTTAAATCTATCAAATGATGATGCACCTCAAGCCTTGGTAGATAACTCTGGTACTTGAAACCATGACTGTTTTCTGGTTCATTTCTGAGCTGGTTTAAGATACTTAGTAGTTTGCTTGTCCACCTGTATAAAGTGCATGGTGAATTTTGTTGTGACACCTTCTGCCTGCTGAAGTAACTATTTTCTTATTTCCTTCTAGTTTCTTGAAAGGCAGGGAGAAAGACGGCTTCCCTGTTGCCCAAGAAAAGTTCCTGCGCTTGTCAATACGCAGTTTCCCATACCACGAGAGTGAACTGCTACAACAGATAGTACACAACGTGGCTCCAGTCACAGTGGTACGTACTATCTATATCTGTATACGTGTAACTGGTATAACCAACCTTCAGCATAACACACACCAGCTTCACATGCACATAGTGTAGCGGCTACTGATTATATTACATCGAACAACCTGTCACACCTGACTAACCGTTGCATCTAACTGCATTGTTTAAAGACATCCAATGCAATTTTAGCACAATAAAACTGGATTTTCAGTCAATTTTCAAAGTCATTCTTTCAATGTAGTACAGTAATGATGATTTTTTTTGTGATATTGTACCTGTATAATAAATTTTGCGGCTTCCATTTTTCTCAGACTGTGAAATTTTTCTACTTCAGTGTGTTGACTAGTGTATTGATATTGTTGTAAATGAGTTTAAAACTGTCTTAAATTTTGAAGATGGCTAGCTCCATGAAAAGGAAAAGTTCAAGGGATGAGGTAGATAGGTACATGTAGGTAGGTACTGACAGACAACTGCTGCAAAAACTATAATATTGGTAGGAAAACTACAGCTAGTGAAATGGCTCATGTTCTTGTGTCTGCCCTGTAGGGTGATGACCCCACGGCCCTGTCCATCCTGGTGTCTGCCATTAACGGCCACCAGAGTGCAGCTGCAGAGAACCAGTGCTACACATGCGGGGACCTGCAGGCCGAGAAAAAATGTTCTGCTTGCAAAAAGGTCTGTACAGTTCCTTATGATTCCTCCATGTTTGACTGTATGTAACTGTAAAAGGGATCCATTGTAATTTAAGAGCAGCAAGACTAGATAAATTTTCATGTCATTCTTTTAATGTAGTAAGTGGAATCTACCTTATCCCATAGCATACTGATTTTTTCTTCCAGAATATTTTTTGTCTTGCGGCCCTGAAATTGCATCAGATGCCTTTGACTTTAGTACACAGCCAGCACATCAAATCCTGATAGAGGCTACTTGTCAAAAAGAGCTTGAAAATTTTTAAATGAACCTGTAATACTGTAGTGTACAGTAGCATCACAACCAGAGCCAGTAAACTGGATCAAAATTATTTTTTGCCCCCCTCCCCCCCAGGTGAAGTACTGTGGCCAGGCATGTCAGAAGCTCCACTGGTTCACTCATAAGAAAATCTGTGCCACGCTGAAGGCTGAGTTCCTCAAGGAACAGGAACTGGCCGAGAAAATGAAACAGCAAACTCTAGAAGAGCAGGAAGGTAAGGACATTCAAACAATACATGTAGTCATGTACAACTAGAGCCATTCTTGTTGTCTCCAAACTTTGATTTGTGTATGTATGTGTGTGTGTCTGTGTACTATGTATGTGTGCGTGAGTGAGTGTTTGTGTATGTGTATGTGTATTGACATTCCCTAGCAATTATGAAATACCACCTGCA